TAAACAAATTGTTTTAGAAACTAGTGACATTGTTGATGTATCTTAGGTTATAGCTGAAACTTCACATGAATATATCTATATAAACAAATTGTTTTAGAAACTAGTGACATTGTTGATGTATCTTAAATTATAGCTGAAACTTCACATGAATATATCTATATAAACAAATTGTTTTAGAAACTAGTGACATTGTTGATGTATCCTTAGGTTATAGCTGAAACTTCACATGAATATATCTATATAAACAAATTGTTTTAGAAACTAGTGACTTTGTTGATTTTTCTTACCTGCTTTTAGATGTTCAATTTTCCTACAAGTTTAAAATTGATCATTTTATTGACAAAGTGACAGAAACATTTTAATTTTTACAGCTTTTTCAGAAGCATTGCATATTCTAAAGGAAGGTAGACTTGATACTAAGAAAATGGGTCAGTACTCAGATTTTTGTACTTATTTACTTTGATAATTGTCAAAATTGGTTTACTTTATTATTAATTTTTTAAGGGCTAAAGCATTGAACTTTGTTTTTTTTTCATTTTAGATAAAGTATTTGTAGCTTTGTGCATTTGTGTGACAGCATAGTTTTTAATCTGACTTTAGTCTAATTGATCCTGAGGTATGTTTTTTTTTAATTCTTAGTTAATTGTAGTTTATTGTTTGTTGTTCTCTTTTTATGATATTTTCTGGTGATTTTACTAGTTAATTTTTAGAAATTTTGGACATATACAGGTCCTAATGGTCATATGGATATGATTTGATTATTCTGTTCTATTATATCATTTCCACAAAGGTATTCAAGAATACTTTTCAATCATTATAGAAAGGTTTATGATCAACAAATTGAATTGTATTGTAATGACAAAAAAAATCATCATGTTTGTTATTTGCCCCCTTGATCCAGTGGGGGCTTAGGTGGCTTCCACACCCCTGACCATTTTCAACTTTTATTCAACACTTCACACTCACACTCCTGATAATATCATGCATAGACTGTGAATCTGAGGTTCCACTGCTGTAAAAATGCACTTTCTTTTCTGTAAGTGTCCTATAAGGGTAACAATTAAATCCCATTATTTGTTCAAATGAGAGTAGCCCAAGAGTTTAAAGTGGTTGCTGTTGACTAGGAGCTTTTCCTCTAATTGGTCAGTTTAGACTTATGAATTGTTTGTCCTTGTGTTGTTGCACATGAAAATTCTAAACATGAATGCAGTACATACATTAATATTTTATATTTATTCACAGAAATTCAAAAGAAAGAGATACAGAACTTACTGAAGCTGTGTGAGACACCAAGACATAGGTAGGTTTAAAACTAATATTAACTAATTACATAGGTCAGAACAGTGTTGAAGAAATATTGTATCAATCAACCCACTCCCTAAAAAAAAAAAAAGTTAAATTAAGAAAGCTTGGAATTTGAAATAACCTTTTTTTTTGTCCATACAAAATAAGTTGTAATTTCAAATAGTATGTGTCTGTATATATATATATATATATATATATATATAT